TCCAATACTTTTGCTCACCTAAAAATTTTGTGTTCCATTACAAATAATGCTATCTTCTAAGTTGTGTATCAGATCCAGATGTAAATACCTGGAAATAAAAGCTGAAATATTGATCTCTTGTCTCATATTAATCTTTTGATGTCAAACCCAAATGTTTTCAGTCTACAACAAAAGTAAACGAATTGGACTCACTGTTCCAATAAATTTGGAGGGCACTGTATATGTTGGTCCCTGCAGACGAGTTTATCTCAGCTGTGTGTTTGTTGTTTGTCTCCAGTGGGGTCCGGCTCTGTACGTGTGCTACAAGAGAGCTGTGGCCAAAGCCAACGCTCTCGTCTACAAAGCCAGTGAGTATCTATCACTCCTCTGCACCACACACTGTAGTGTTATCTCAGCCCCCACACATGGGGCGAAAGTTACAAAGTTTAAGGAAATGTAGTGTGTGTTTCAACTCATAGTTGTGCCCAAATCAAGAGAGATGGCGAGTAGAAGTTAGTATGACCTGTTAGAAAGACACAGGCGGAAAATTACTGGAATTTTCCTTTAAGGACGTTAATTATTAATTAAAAGTATGTTTTCTTTATTGTGTGAACATTTGAAAATAACAATCATTGTGTTTTTTGGTAAAAACCTCCTGAGCAATGAACACTGAATGAATTCTAACCAGGAGAAGATTCAGCTGGTTATAATCTGTAGTCCTCACCCCTGAATCCTCCTGAATCTTACACGCTGGACCTCTAAAGGATTTTTAAAACATTTCTATGCATAAAACATTATGAATTATTATTATTATGATTATGCATATTGGAACTGAAGTGTAAAGAGTCTGCCGTGTGCTGCAGGTCTGATCAGCCGGTACCCGGAGGAGGACCTGGAGTCGTTTCCTCTGCCGGAGTCGGTGCCGGTCTTCTGTCTGCCGATGGGCGTCACCGTGGAGAGCTGGCCTCTGAACACCAAGTACCAGCTGCCCGTCTTCTCCACCTTCGTCCTCACCTCCGCCTCCGGGGACAAGGTCAGAGGAGCAGCAACATACACACGTATACACACACACATTTCCCTTAAAGCGAAACAGTTAGTTTCCTGGAGGGTTAATTCATTAATTAATTCAGTCACTGTGTGATTTGATCAATAAAGCAAGTGTTGTAATCGTAACTTAAATGTTCATGTTGGTGGTTTGGTGCTGCGTCTGCAGTGATGCGGGTGCTGTACCAGAGGAAACTGAGCTGAAAGGCAAAGCTTTCGATTTACCTATCCATCTACGTCCCAACCCTCACCTATGGTCATGAGCTCTGGGTAGTGACTGAAAGAATGAGGTCACAGATACAAGCAGCTGAAATGAGTTTCCTCTGAAGGGTGTCTGGGCTCAGCCTTAGAGATAGGGGGAGGAGTCAGACATCTGGAGGGAGCTCAGAGTAGAGCCGCTGCTCCTTCATGTTGAGGTGGTTCAACATCTGATCAGGATCCTCCTGGGCGCCTCCTGTTAGAGGTGTTCTGGGCACGTCCCACTGGTAGGAGGCCCCGGGGCAGACCCAGAACACACTGGAGGGATTATATATCTCATCTGGTCTGGGAACGCCTCGGGGTCCTCCAGGAGAAGCTGGAAAGTGTTGCTGGGGAGAGGGACGTCTGGGGTGCTTTGCTTGGCCTGCTGCCCCGAGACCCGGCCCCAGATAAGGATGTGAAGATGTTTTTATTTACAGTATGGCTCTAAATAGACATTTCAGTCTTAGCTGATGTGTTTTTAACAGACAGTCACCATCGCTGTAGATTAAACTACCTATCAGGACATAAAGGAGTTAAAATGAGCTCAACCTGAAACATGTACAGCCGTGAAGTGACACATGAACGCAGCAGATCTTTACCTGTTCAGAATCTGGACTCAGATCGCGTTTGACCCATTAAAGCTCTGTGTCCATATATTTAAAGCTCTTCCTGTCTGTGAAAACTCCCCCCGTTCTCCCTGCAGGTTTACGGAGCAGCCATCCAGTTCTACGAGTCGTTCCCCAGGGAGCTGCTGTCGGAGCGGCAGAACGTGAGGCTCGGCCTGCTCAGCGTGGTCGACCGGCGGCCGATCACCAACCGCAGCCTGCAGGTGAAGAAGAGCATCTGCGTCCTCTCCCACTGGCCCTTCTTCACCGTCTTCCAGAAGTTCCTCACCTTCATCTACAGATACTCCATCTCCGGACCTCACGTCCTGCCGCTCGAAAAGTCAGTGCTCAGAATTTTCTTTTTGGACTAAATCATGTCTGCTGATGTTTTATTGACGAGTTATTTATCTGTCAGGTGAAGGCGGTGGTGTAGTGGGAGTTGATGAGGTGGTTGCACTACTACTTAGATAGGTAGGTTACCAAGGAGAACGTGGGTATACAAACTAGCAAACAAACGCTCACCTGACACGATGAAGCAGAACTTGTGAGTGGGGCAGAGCTGTGTGGAGAGTGTGACAGAGGAGAGATGCACACTGGGATCTTTTCAGAAGGACAGTGTCATGTAAAGCATCTTGAACCTATATGTATATAAACAGTATTGTCTAGATAAAAACATATGGCCCACGAGCCAGAACTTGACACACCAGCTGGTCCAGTCAGGCTCACTGGATGACTCTGCAAAGTGCTAAAACTGCAGAGACGTCATTAAGTCCAATTTTTCAATAAAATGCTTATACAGGAGCCACCAGTGGAAAATGTCTTTGTCAAAAAGTGGAAGCAGAAAGTTGGGTTTTCCAAGAAAAATGGACCAGTTCCTTTTTCTTTACCGAGGTTAATTTGGAGCCAGTGTGCTCAGTGTGTTCACAGCATTCAGTGCTCAGGCAACATATTATTCAGCACCACTATCAGGCTCAGAAACAGGCGTGAAAAATACAGGAACTTGCAAGGCGAACTGAAAACAGAGAAGATTTGTGGACTGTTGGCAGGTCTGAGAAAATAGCACTTTGTTTTTAGCCATAGCCGAGAGATCAGTGACGCAGCTGTGAGAGCGAGCTACCTTATTACTGACAACATAGCATCAGAGCCAAACTCTGAGGGTGAGTGTGTGAAGATATGCACACTGAACAACAGACACACTCATATTTTTATTACAACATCTCAGGCTCTTCATCCTCTGTTTGTAAATGGAGGATATTTTTTTTTACACTGTTTGAGGTTTTGTTATTTATAGATTATTGTGCAGTGGTTTTACTGGTCCGGCCCACTTGAGATCAGTTTGGGCTGAATGTGGCTCATGAACTAAAATGACTTTGACACCCCTGTCTGGATCTATACAGTATGTTGCTTAAAAATATATCGATATATCGTACAAAGTCATTATATCGCCCAGCCCTACATGATACCCATATTAGGGATTGACTGATATGTTTTTTTCAGAGCCGATGCCGATACCAGTTATTATGAAACAGAGGTACCGATAGCCGATATTTACAACCCATATTTGTCTTCTGTAAAAATCATTGTTGACACAGAATAAAAAAATAAAAACACTGACAAAGCACTACATTCAAATGCAATGAAGCACATATTTATTCTGAGAACTTTTTCAGTGAAACAGTACAGGGAGCTGCCAGCAGCACTTCGGAAAACACTCTGACAAGTAAACAAATGAATGGAGAGTTAAATTAAAAGCCAGGCTAAAAAGGGTAGGTCCTGAGTTTGCTTTTAAGAGCCTAAAGTGGTTCATGCAGGCAGTGAGAAACACACCAGGGGCAAAACAGCGCAGCTAAGGAAAACAAAACTGTATATCGACATATCGGTGGAAAAAAATCACAGATACTGATAACCCTAAAAATTCATAATATCGGCCCCGATAATCGTCCAGGCCGATTATGTGTCGACCCCTAACCCATATTTTTAAATTCAGAGTGACTAATGCTTCCAAGGATATCAGCATCATCAGATCAAATAAACGTCCATGAATCTGGAGTTATTGTTGGCTAAATCAGGATTGTTTGCCATAATAAACAAGCTATAATCACTGATCACATTAGCAGGAAGTAATTTGTGAAGCTAACCATCCGACAGATCCACTCAGAATAGTGTTTTGCTTGTGATAACATTAGTGATCAAGCTAAGGTCGCTTTAACCACATTTCCCTGTTATTTTACATGATATGAACTATTTTGAATTTTTCAGACATGTGATTGATATTTGATTTTATCGATACTGATTTTGTTTGCTTCTGATTTTCTGTCTCTGCAGACACGTCTCCAGCTTCATGCACAATGTCCCGTTTCCTTCCCCACAGCGACCTCGCATCCTCGTTCAGGTACAGACTCGAACCTTCTATATGCTGTCTGTGTGGTCTCCATCAGGTTATCAAAAATAATGCACGACTTTTAAAGTCCACATTGCAGAAAAAAAACCTTTTCAGAAGAGTTTTCAGAGAACCGCTTGTTCAAACCTAAACACAGAAAAGAAGAAAAACTACAAACCTTTGATTTGTGTGTTTTTATTATGTATTTAATTAATTATTTGAGTCATATGACTTTTTGATTTTATTTTCTGCAGGAGTCATTTGATTTGTTGACCCAAATGTGACAGTGTTTACAGAAGAAATCAATAAAATACTAATCACACAGAAAAGAAAAAACATATTTGACATGACAGGTTTATAAAAACAGCAGCAGAGGAAACCAGCACAGACTTTTACACCTTCTGACTTCAGTCCTTCACTTCCTCCTTCAACAGGATGTAGGCGGTGATCTGGTCCCAACCTGAACTTGGTAACTGTGTCCAATCAGAAACAGCCCTTTCAGTGATCGGCTCCAATTAGCAAACAAAATTTCTTGACATAATTCTTCCAATTACAGAATAATTTGCAGATGATTTATCAGGTTCAGATGTGATTTCACTCAGCTGCATGCAGGATGATTTTATCTCAGGTCGTAATTTTGTGTTTGTTTGTGTCAGGATTTTATTTAAATGTAAATATTTACATTGGATATCATTATTATAAATTTTTCATCTTGAGCCAAACATGTCTGAAAATTTAAATAAAGTTTTTGGCCATCATTCAGTTCAGTTAAAAGAACATTTTACTCACCAACATCAGCTCTACAACAGCTGGAGAAGAGTCCACTCAGAGTGTCAGATCCACAGAGGACACATCATCCAAACTGTCATTTTATACTTTCTCTTTTATTACCTGATAAATGATTTAGATGAACTGTATATTTGTATAAAACCTGTCTAACGGCTTGCTGCGCCCACGTTTGATTTAAATTCACCTTCCAGGAATAAAGTTGGTGAGTAAAATCTTCTCTGAACTGAAGGAACGAAAGCCAAAACTTTGAAAACAAGTTGTAAATTAAACAGTAAATGACTTGTGAAATCACGTAGAAACCAAAACTGTCGCTGTGTTTGTTTGT